GAGCATGCCAATGAAAGCAGACGTCCGTGTATGGGGAGCTTTGCTTGCAGCTCCCCGGGTTCATAAGAACATCGATTTAGGAAAGCAAGTGGCTAAGATAATCCAGAAACTAGGACCTGAGGGCACTGGCAACTTTGTTCTGTTGTCCAACATATTCAGCGCTGCTGGGAGGTTCAGGATTCTACATGCTTAGTATCATCAGCTGTAGAATTCTGAACTATCAGTTGGTCCAGTTGGTGAAATAAAATGGTGTCTCAAATCGAATATGATACTATGCACTTCCCTATCCTGGAGACTGGAAAAGGCAATCAGCACATGAAGGTAAGCTCTTAAGCGTCATAAGAATTTCTCCAGTTTCTCAACCTTCCTCTCAATATCATTACTGGCTTGCAGCTCAAAAACGTCAGTAAAGGCCTAATGCTACCTTATTACAAGAGAACATGGATATCTGGGGTATTGATTGCTATACTGGATTTGGTGAGCAAAATATTCCTGGGATCCTTGCCTTGCCCCAGCCCTACTTAGGAAGACAAGAAGTTCATTTAAGGCGCAACAGGAAAAACCTATAGTACTAGAAAATGTGATCATCATTTGTAAAATGGTTGAGCTTGTAGATGCTGGGGATAACCATCCGGGGGCCAAGACCTCTCCCCTGTTGGTTAAGGGTGTTCCTCAAATAGATTTCATGGTCCCATAATTGGCGATTACTGATGAGCCGAGTGGCACAAACTTTTCTTTCTTTGTATGAATTCTTTCAGTAGTAGAGCTCTCCCATAGTACGTGCCAATTGGCCTGGGCGAGTCTGACCATCTTCTGAAAATTCCTTCATGTCTTTCATTTCATTGATGAAGCAGTTGCTGTATATATCACTTTTTTTTCTCATTTTATGCAGGTACTTTCTCTTCCTTGTTGCACCTTTGAGGGGGAAATGATCATCTATGGCCTCGAAAGCAGTCACTCAACAAGCCCGTCTAGCTCAGTTGGTAGAGCGCAAGGCTCTTAACCTTGTGGTCGTGGGTTCGAGCCCCACGGTGGGCGCATTTAGGTCTTTTTTTTTACTTTTACTGTGCTTGCTAACAAAACTCTGCCCTGGTATTTGTTGCCTAGCAAAATGCCCTTTCAGAAATGTAGCTTCTCGGCAGGTCTGTCATGTTTTTCACCTTCAGAAGCAAAGCAAATACATTACAGATGCAGAGGAAGACGACTTCAAGAGTAACTCTTTTTTTTTACTTTTACTGTGCTTGCTAACAAAACTCTGCCCTGGTATTTGTTGCCTAGCAAAATGCCCTTTCAAAAATGTAGCTTCTCGGCAGGTCTGTCATGTTTTTCACCTTCAGAAGCAAAGCAAATACATTATAGATGCAGAGGAAGACGACTTCAAGAGTAACTCTTTTTTTTTACTTTTACTGTGCTTGCTAACAAAACTCTGCCCTGGTATTTGTTGCCTAGCAAAATGCCCTTTCAGAAATGTAGCTTCTCGGCAGGTCTGTCATGTTTTTCACCTTCAGAAGCAAAGCAAATACATTATAGATGCAGAGGAAGACGACTTCAAGAGTAACAAAGGGCTATTTAGGTCTTTTTTTTTACTTTTACTGTGCTTGCTAACAAAACTCTGCCCTGGTATTTGTTGCCTAGCAAAATGCCCTTTCAGAAATGTAGCTTCTCGGCAGGTCTGTCATGTTTTTCACCTTCAGAAGCAAAGCAAATACATTATAGATGCAGAGGAAGACGACTTCAAGAGTAACAAAGGGCTATGTGGTATATAGAGCCCAATCTCGCAGCTCAGCATCAACAGGTACACTCCAAAATCCTCAGCTGCATAAACACTTGTAGCATTACAAACATTATGAGACTTCACAAGTGCTAAAGGAAGTTCAGTTCAGAAATAAAAAATGCAAAAAGAAAGGGCTATGTAGAACCAAGGAGCCTCCCAGAATCTCAACTTCACACCACCGTTCTGTACCTTGAGCTTACGTGGTAACTTTTGCTTCACAAAATTTGTTAAAACTCTCCACTGCTGAAAAGATTAAACTACAGACTTCCCTGCTCTGTAGGAAGAATGGAAGATAAAACTTCCTCCCACATCACCTCATATTGCTCCTTGCAAAAGAAAAATGAGCTCTGAGAAAATCCAACCATTTCACAGCCTAGTTCTCCCCCTTGTATTTTAGGTAGAATGGACCATGTTAATGGCATACACGGGTAGTTTGTTCAATATAAAGAAGACATTCACCCAAATTAATTCAAAGGCGGAAATAATAATTTTCGAAATGCCAAAAAAGTCCTGCAATGATTAGATATATAAATGTTCATGCCAATTATGTTGTTGTAAAAACTTATGACAAATGTGTAAAAAAGGGCTTATAGCATAAGCAACATCCAGATTTGTAATGAACAAATTCAGCTCCCAAAACAACAAAGGGACCATAGATGAGATGAAACAGTAACTTCACATCCAAATCAAACTAGAGGAGACTTGAGTATCCTCTAGTCTGCCTTAATCAAAATAGAGTTGTACAATATACAAGCCCGTACACAAACCAGACACACACATACTGTCTGAGATTCGTATAGTTGGGAATTAAACAAACCATACAGTACAGGTCTGTACATCAAGAGAAACAGGTTGGCATATGTAATAAAACCCATCACCATCATGTCGACGTTCAATTCAACACAAGCGAGCAGCTCTCCAGTAGAGTGGAGTACTACACCTGCTGGCCCCGGAGCTCCTCCTGCTGACGAGAAATGCCTGCATGAGTGCAGAAGGCCCAAAGGTAGGTGATAAGTTCACCACCAGAGGTGGCCAATGACTTGGCATGGCCTTGAACGTTCTCGGATGGGCCCATGAAGATGAGCAGTTCTGTCCAGAAATCAGCTAGACTCTTCCAGACTGCAGCATCTCCTTCTCGGGCTCGCTTCTTGAGGAGCTCATCAAACACCTCCATCCCCCCCTTTGCCGTCTTTTCTTCTATGTCTCCTGCATTCTTGGCCATCATCAATG